CCCACACACACACAAAACACACACACACAATGAGTGACTGTTGACTGTTCTTCTTTTGCTCAGCTCTTCATATTAGTGCATTGCAACATTTTAGAACTGAAACTCAAATTTGAATTGGTGTCTCTTTGGGCTGGTTTAACTCTTCGGACTATCGAGTTAAAAAGTCAAAGCTCTACCATATTGAAGTATAGAATACAAGTTCCAATCCTATCACGTTAGATTAGATTGGAACTGAGTTTTAAGACTTTTTGATATGGAAACTGTCACTTTTGTAAGGATCCTGTGTTACTCACTGCACAATTCGTGGTGTTTCTTTTGTTTCAATAAAATGTTCACTTATCTATCAGTAGAAAGTATCTTCTTGAAACACTGATATCTTATGTTCTTTTTTTATTGGACAATCTACTTCCCATTATTCGTCAGGGCTCTTTTGATAAGCTTTTTGTTTAGAATTCCTCAAAAACTTTATATGTTTCGGCAAATTGAATTGTTCTCTTTGAACACTCGCGTTCACCTGATATCTTATCGTCCTTCGACTTCGAAGTTGTTAAAGTTAAAGCTTTCCTGAGTTAGCATTCCAATTCGACCAAGTCATAGTGTATTAGTGGTTCTAGTGTCCCATATTCTGACTATAAAGATAATTGGTGATGTTTCTAAATGAAGAGGTTATTACTTAAGAAAGAAACCCTTTCTGACTTTTATCTTTTCTTTTCCTGCCTTTTTGGTTGACATATAAAGTTTGTCTACATGATATGGGTCTAGATGTGGTCCTGTCCTGCCGCCTAATGATAAATTTTTGCGGTCAGATGCTATATTGCTTTAACAGAGCTTCTTCTTCCCTGTTACATGTTTACAAAATAGTTAGCTGGTTTGATCAAAGAGATTCAAGTTTAATATGTGCTGCTTACCCGTCATTAGCACCATGTAGCATGTATTGTAGGTCAGATCAAGAGTGTGGTGTGCCATAAATATTCGTAAGCATGCGTATATGCAGAAATACTACTAATGCGAGAATTTGGACGCGTATTCCTAATTGTAAAACAAAATATTTGGCTGTAACAACAGATAATGAAATGATAGTTTATTGTCCATGGTTACTACACATTGGGATTAATTTGGGTATAAAACAATCTCCACCTATGTCAAGGCACAGCGTGTCCGAAGCCCGGATAAAAAGTAGGGTTGCAATAGATCGACAGTGTAGAAATAGGTAAACTATGAACGAAGGATTCATATAGCCAAACCTTAATTAATTTGGGATTTAGGCATAGTTGATGAATTAGGAACATGTATCTATTATTTATCTTAAATCAGTAAGAGAGAGAGATTCTCAAGTACTTCAGCTGGAATTTGGATGCAGGTTTTCTTGAAGCAGCATCTCAGCAGTGTTGTTTTTGATTCAAAATTCTCCACGAGAGGTAAGCTTTCTTTCTACATCTCCTAGCTCTTCGGTGATAATGCCTTGGTCTGTATGACTGTATCTGTGTCCAGTTAGTATAAATATTCTCTTTCTTAAGACATCAACAAATTTTCTTCAACCTGGATTTCCGTCTGCCTTGCTCTTATGTTTCCCTTCTGACGTGTGGAATATAATTTTCTTTTACGGTCCAGTACGTTAAATCCTTTTAGAATTTAGTATAGGAATTTGTCAGAACTCGGGAGAACTGGAGACAGAATGAAGTTATCATTTTTATATATTCTGGGTGCTGCCCCATACCATACTAGCAGGCTTATGAGCTTACTTGGAATTCTGTGGTCGATTTTGTGCACCACTACTTTTCTCTTGGTTGCCTGAAGAGTTCTTTGGTTGTTTTTGTCCATTGCTTTTTTCTTTCTTTCTTAGTTTAATAGATTCGACCAATTACCAAGACTATTTTCTGCCTAGCTTTTCTGTCTGTTCCACCTTCCTTCCCCTCCGCTCCTTGTTTGCCTTTGCTTTTCCTTAAGATCTAACTATCCTAACAAGTAGATGTGTCATTATGCTTTTTCAGAATCTCAGGTACCTCCTCAGCAGCAAGATCCAGATGAAACATTACAGACAGAAGAGGAGGAAGGGAAGCCTGTTAAAAGGAAGAAGGCATCAAAAGAACACAGCGGAAGCAAGAAACCAAAGACCAAGAAAAAGAGTAAAAGGTCAAAAGGAGACAGTAGCGATGCTGCTGCATAATCATTTTGCTTCCTGGAATCCCCAAAGTCTTGATGACATGTTACGCCACCAGGTAAGCTAAAGGACCGTAGCATACACCAGAACACGGTGAATATGTGAGAATCTGTGACTTGGTTGCATTTGTATGTACAAGTAGAAAGAACACGGAAACTTGAGTGGGTATTTGCTGAATGTAAGCGCTAGCTTGTGGTTCAGGAGGTTTTTTTTTTGTGTTTTATTTTTTCCGAAAAAAGAGAGGCAAGCTGAAGTTAGTACCTGATCATCTTGTTTTGTTGCTAGATAATACAGATCGCGAAATATTATGTACTCCCATTTGAAAGGCATTTTGGGAAGAGTTTTTCTAATTTGGAAAGACAATTGAGTTGGTTATAGGGCATGTGCTTTGTTCAAGTTAAACACCAATCTTTTGAGATTAAACAAATATTTGAAAGGGGTAAAAATGACAAAAAGAGAAAAGGCGCCTGTACTTTTACGACCACTATAGAATTACTTGGTCTTCCTTCTTAAAGTTGAAAATTGGCAAGGGCCTATCATTCTTCTTCTTTTTTCCTTTCAGGCGTATTGATTTTTCATCTACATCGAAAATGATTTTATTTTATTTTCGTTCCTGCTTGAGTAAAAAAAAAAAATTCTACTAGAACTAAAAAAACTAGAGAATTATGTTGATGATGTTTTATAGGGACCTGAAGGTATGCAATTCACAAGAAACTTTAATAACTTTAAAGTATTAAAAACAAGGAAGAAAATATATCAGGTGCATGTTCTTGACTTATAATCCCCTCCACCATATGATATTTTAGTCTTTTGCTTTTGTGTTGATGGCATTTGCTCAGCACCATCCACCATAATATTTTGAATCTATCATTTTTTATGGTGAATGCTTGATACTCTGTTTGCGGTGCATCTCACTGCTGATTTCAATTGATCGCATAGTATTTTGAAGAATTTGTGGATTGGTTTAGTCGAGTTTGACGAAATGGCGTAACCTATTAATAACTTCTGTTTTATCAAAATCTTTGCTGGTCAAATTGTCCCTTTGCTTGGTCAGTTAGTGTGAAGTGTGAATTACATTCTTGTTGTTTATTTCTTTTTTTTCTCGGAGTTGATTGAAGAGTAAATTTTATGAATGGTTATCGAACTTTTAGCTTCATTACATAAAAGTCATTATTATTTTTTTTGTCACACAAAAATCATTTAACTTTGCTCCGGTTATTACAAAAATTATTTTGGCCGAATTTGACAAAGTTCCCACTGGAAAAGTGACATGTCAGCCTTAATTAGTGTATGTGCTTAATTAAAGGGAAATTTTCATAAAGTATTATCTTTTAGTAGTAATTAGCCATCTATAGATACCATTTGCTATATTACAGATTATAGATACCTTTTATGTGGTTATAAGATGTATTTGATGTATTTAAGCTATTGTATTCATGAATACAATAGCAAAAATAGGCGTGAATCAGGGAAGTCCAGCTAATCAGTTGTTGTATTCGAGTGTATTCGACTGTATTCATGGAGTGAAACATGCGATTGCATCTGGACAGATTATTGTATTCGACTGTATTCACGGCGTGAAATAGGGGATTACACTGTTTTTAAAACGGAAAGTGAATCAATTAACATAATAGACTCCTAATATAACTCAACAAACTCAATTATAACACACAAATTTGGTATTTTCAGTTATAAAAAAGATTCTCAACCGAAAAATACCCCAAAAACATAGCAATCTTCAGAGAAATTATATAATACATCTGAATACATAAATTATATTAATTAAAAAAAACTTATGAATACATTCATGGCATATAGCGAGACAGTGAATACAATGAAATACATAGAATACAACGGGATACATTGAAATACAATGAGAAAAAAAGACAATGAATACAATGAAATACATGGAATACAACGAGATACATTGAATTACAATTGAAAAAAAGACAAATGAATATAATGAAATACATGAAAATACACTAAAATATATTAACAGAAAGTCATCCTACAACATCCATATCTCCAGACTCACCATCTCTGGAGACACCTTTGTCTCCACTAACAAACCGAAGTTGGCAGAGACAAATATACTTCAGCAACTCCTTCGACCTGCCCTTCTATTTCCCGCGCATCCTTCGCAATCGGCACCTAGTTTGCGAGTGTAACTATACTCTAACAATTCTCCTACTACAATGGAGGATATCGACGGAGGAGAAATGGCAAGCGAACTAGAAAGAGAAGAGGAAGAAGCAACCACCGACTTACTCCGCGATCGATTCCGATTATGCATTATTTCCATTGCTGAAGCCGATGGTATTTTTTTTAATCAAAACACATATAGTAATTTCTGAAGTGGGTTTTGCACAAATCAGTGGAAGGAGGAGGAGATCGAAAATTTTAATGGGATGAGGGAAGAGAATGAGATGTATCAAAGTAGAGAGAGAAAGAAAATAGTGCAACTGATTAGCGTATTTAGTGGCTTAGGGCTAGGAAGTAACCAAAATTAAATATTTTGCTATAAACCTTAAAATGTATCTATAGAATATAACTTTTTTAAATGATATTTATTTAAAATAAATAAGGTGTTAACCTTTGCTATAGGAGGTAAAAATTCCTCAATTAAATAGGGTTAATATACTAAGCCCATTATACCCGCCTAAGTTATACCCGGCCCACTATACACCAAATAAACCTGACCTACCCATTCTCCTTAAAATTAATTCTCTCTCTTTGTTACTTCCTCAGTTAGGGCTCAATGTATTGAAACAAAAAATATTCCTTGAAAAAGATGAAATCCTCTTCAAGATCGAGGAATAAATTAGGCAACTCTCTGAGCTCTTTGTTCCATTATCATCATATGTTGCTTCAATGGACCACCATGAAGCAGAAACAACAAAACAAGGGCGGAACATGAGGTACAAACAAACTCTTTTTATCTTTGTTTATGTGTTATTCAAGGGACCACCGCGAATATTATTTTGTTGTTCTTGTTTGTTTATGTGTAATTACAACATGCCCATTATCAATTTTTCAGAGTTTTAGGGTTTGTGACACTCAATCTTAGGGTTTAAATCGGCCTTTTTGGGGGAACATTTGAAGGGTATTTCATGCATGAATATGGGTCTTTCTTGTTCTCTTTTCTATGTTGAAGTAATTCCCAAAGACCCAAATTAATTTTTTGTTGATTCTGGTTTCTCATAATGATATATTTTTTTTTACTTTTGTTCGTTCTAACTATGGTTATTTATTTGATTTATATGTAGAAATTTGAACATTTCTTGAGTGGAATTAATGAAAGGGAATTCTGGGATGATACAAATCAGTCTGATAATGATTTTAATGATGATGACTATCACTTGTTTGAGTCTGATGATGATTTTAGTGATATAATAGTTGAAACACATACTAGAAAGAAAAGGGAAAGACCTAAGAAAATAGCAAGCAGATTGCCATCATCCACTAGTATTCTAATACCTGAACTTAATGACAAATTTGACTTGATTTTGCCTCATCAGAAGAACTAAATGATGTCAAGTATGATAGAGAAAATAAGGAGGAGGATGAGGTGACATATCCAGAGTATGAGGAAGAAAAGGATAAGTATAATCCAAGCTTGGAACTTGGAATGAAATTTAGAAGTCTTGGGCAGTTTAAAGAAGCCTGCAGGAATTGGGGTATTAAGAATAGGCGCCAACTTTAGTTTCCTACAAATGACCAGACGAGGGTGATATGTGCTTGTAAATTAGATGGCTATCCATTTAGGTGTATGCCAGTGTTGTGAGTAATGTGGATCCAACAACTCAAATAAAATCTATTGATATGCCACATACTGGTGGGTATGTGTTTCAGAATTTTCATATGGATGCTCAATGGATTTCTAAGAGGTATTTCAGTACTTTTAGGGCTGATCCTGCATGGAGTTGAATGGCATCATAAAGAGGGTAACTGATGATTATAGTTATACCATAAGTAAGGCTAAGGTTTGGAGGGCCAAACGATTAGCTTTGAAATGGATATATGGAGAAGAGGGTGATCAATATGCAAGGCTATTATCTTATAGAGCAGAGCTATTAAAATCTAATCCTGGCTCAACTGCCACTATTTGGAGAGATGAAGGGAGATTTTTGAAATTCTATGTATGCCTTAGTGCACTTAAAGTTGCTTTTAAATCAGGTTGTAGGCCACTAATTAGTTTAGATGGTTGCTGGCTGAAAGAAAATTATGGTGGAAGCTTGTTGAGTGATGTTGCTATAGACCCGAATGACTGCATATTCCCAATAGTTGATTTGGTTGCCAGGACTTGTACATGTAGGAGATGGGATTTGACGGGTTTACCATGTCCGCATGATGTTGTGAGTATCTTAGGAAACAATGAGAGAGTAGAGGATTTTGTAGTGGCCTATTATCATATTGCGACCTTTAAGAATGTATATTCATACTTTATCAACCCCACTAACCCCGAGTCGCATTGGCCAGAAGTTATTAATGGTGGTATAGTAATTCCACCTAAATTGGTCAAGAAAAAAAGGGGAAGACCTGCTAAATCCAGGAGGAAGGAAGCTGAAGAGATGGAACCAAAAAGACAAGCACAAAAAGAAAGCAAGGCAGCTAGAAAATTGTCTAAAAAGGGCAGCACTTCCATAACTTGCTCAATCTGTAAAGAAGTTGGTCATAATGCCAGAGGGCATTCTAAGTTTGTCCAAAAAAATGCTCAGATGCCAATTAAAAAAGAAACAACTACAATTCCAACTCAAGAAGAAGATGATGATTTTTGGGGATATTCAAATTTGTACCACTCTGAAATGTGGTGTAATTCTGGTACTAACAAAGATGGAGGACTGAACTTTAACTTGACAAATCAGTTTACTATTACTGAGGCTTGTTGGTTATGCTGTGGATTCTTTAGTTGAATTTTAAATAAGTTGCAATTAAATTTTGGTCTTTCAGGTGGCTGCTATGTGTACTGGTTCTGTTGTCGAACTTGGAGTTGTTGAACTTGGAGTTGCTGTGTGTGCTGAAGTTTCTGAAACTGTTATTTGTGATGAAGTTTCTCAAGTTGCTGCTGTTGGTGTTTCTAAGAGAGGCCGGAGTATGAAGAAAAAAATTATGATTGACTATGTTACTGCCGTGATTAAAAAGAAGTCCAGGGTCTCTAGGAAGTAAAAAATTATGGAGTATTTTGTGTTTTTGTATTAAATATATAGTTTGAATGGCACAGAATGTGCATTTTGCAGTTTTCACTATGCGGTGCATTCTAATTGTTTATGTTGGCTTATTAAGCAGTATTTTGTTGGGTTGGTCTTACTTAATAGCCAACATTTTGGCATATATTAGAATGCACTGTTATGAAATGGTTTCACTTTATTTAGTCCCTTTTTTATTTTGCTATTTAAAGTATCCCATTTTTGCATTTTAAATAGTTTTAGTGAATGAACTGAAAATTTTCTTAAGTTGCACTTAAAATGGGTCAAGGCATAGGTAAATCATGACAGGTACAGAGTATGGAAAAAAATGAGCTCCATTCAAGCAATTGGGTCAAGTATTTTATGGGTCAAGGTATGATTTAATATTATATTTAACTTTCTTAATCAATATAAAACACTAATTAAGGCTGCCACGTCACTTTTTCGGTGGAAACTTTGTCAAATTCGGCCAAAATGATTTTTGTGATAACCGGAACAAAGTTAAATGATTTTTGTGTGACAAAAAAAAGAATAATGACTTTTGCGTAATGAAGCTAAAAGTTGGATGACCATTCATAAAATTTACTCTTGATTGAATTACAACTAGTATATTAATATTTTCGCATTTTTGTAACACATACTTGTTTATAGTCCATATTGTGAACACCTAATTTTTGACCATGTTTGAATTCTTTTTCCCACTTATCTCATAAATACCTCACTTCTCACCCATCTTCCCGTTTCCCTTTCACACGCGCATTCCCATACCCATATTCCCGTGTCCCCCACGCCTGTCCCCATCTCACTCTCCTTTGTCCCTACCCACTCCCTTTTGCTCCCCACTCTTTGTCCCCCATATGCTCTCCACTCTTTGTCCCCCACATGTTTCTCACTCACAACCCATATTCCCCCATAGACACACGACCCCTCACCCTTCCACTCTTCTTCTCCATCAACACATATTATTACATATTCTTTATATAAGTCATACATTTAGATTAGTAAAAAAAAAAAGAGGAGGGGCAACAAAATAGGAGGAGATCTTTGAACAAGGAAAATAACGTGAAAAGTGGGAGGAAGAAACAGAAAAGATTCAATTAGATAACAAGTTTGAGAGATTCTCGTATAATTAGGAGGTCAAGTTTTCGTTTGTGGCTTCGGGTTCGACGTTGCTGCTACTTTGTCCGGCTTGAGTTTCGATATTGGATTGGAGTTGTACTGGTTCTCTTTCTTGTATTACTGGAACTTTTTTTTGCTAAGGTTTTTATTCTATTCTTCTTCACTGTTATTTCTTAGTTTTATTTAGAGCATTAGGATTTGGTTCCTTTTATTAGTAATTTATTTTCTTAATCTGTTATTTTCCTATTTGAGCATATGTTTCTGAATTTTGTTATCATTTAATTTATTTGGTGAAAGACTAAAAGAAAGAGATTTCATAAGAGATGAAGATTAAAACGATTACGGTGATGATATAAATGTTTGCATAGTGTTAAACTTAGTGGTCAGTTAAGCTTGCACAAATTATACTATGATATTAGAAATGAGCGTATTTTTCAGTTATTTTTATGAATAAGCCATAATCTATAATAATTTTTTTCTTTATAAGATTGTAGTAAGTTTCACTTATATAATGAAAAGTTTTTCTTCTTTGAGTATATATTTACAACTGTTAACCATTCGACCATGAAAACTAAAAAAAATCAGGTATTAATTTTAGTAGGAATACCTCATAAATTAGAAAATCTTGTTAATCCTATCAATTTCTCTATGCCTTTAACTTCACTGCAAGTTACTTTAATATTGTGATTAGCTATCTTAAATTAGTCTATGAATGTATACTTCTATTAGTTCACTGTTGAAGAATAACTTCTAATTTTCATGTGCTTTATCTTCATTTTATGAACTTTATTTGAATTGTGTTTTTCGTTGTTTGTTTTGTTAGCATAAATATTGTTCTTTGTAAATTAATTGGACATTTCACATTATATATATATATATATATATATATATATATATATATATATATATATATATATATANACATTTTTATCATGAATTGGTTCAAGGAAGGATATAGCTTATTTGGTCTAGACATATTGTAAGACCTATCAATAGATACATGCGGGTTAATTAATTCAAAGCTCACAATAATATATATATTAGAATAAAGAAATAATTGAGGGAGAGTGAAATAGTCATGAACTAATTCAAGAATTGTTGCAATAAAAAAAATATACAAATATATGTATTGGATAAGAAGGGACTAATAAATGAAATATTTTAAATACGCTTAAAAGTTTTGGATGTACTTTAATTATTGGCTCATGTGTTCATACCCGAACCTTGGATTGATATGCTTAAGTAATAAAAGGGTCATGTGCGCATTCCCGCGTCTTGGTACCTTTGATTTTAAAATAATCATGTGTACATTTCATACATTGGTTTAACATCAACTTCAAAGAAGAATACCTTGTGTGCGCACATCTTGGTAAACACAATTAATAATTAATTAAGTGATAATAAATAAACTATAATCTATAAAATACAAGAATAGTTAAAAATAATATAAGCCAAATATAGTCCATAAAACGACCGTGCTAGAACCACGGGACTCGGGGAATAACATATAGTCAATTAAAATGACTACATCTTTATTATTGCTAAGTTTGTCTATAATTATGAAGTCAATCTCTACATACTTAAAAATAACATATTAATTACTA